TGTCGCGTGGTTTTAGTTTGTCTAAGATGCGCCATCAGCTTTCACACGTACTGGTCGTTTCCGTCCCGTTGATTCGTGCAACTGTTCACCTACCAGAGTTGTATTCGCACACGCACAGCGCACGGAGCCCTCAATACCATGGACGTCAAAATAATTATATTGAATTATCATTCTTAGAAGATTCACATAGACTTCACATTGCTGCCAATACCAATAGTTACTCAAGATGCCTGCAGGAGTGTTTTTTAAGAACAAAACGAAAACACTAGACACAATCCCTTAAATAGAAAGTCATCCCAAATTGAAAACGGCATACTGTTCAACAGTCCATGTCTAAGTAAACACATCTTGCGCAAATAAGCGTGCGTGCGTGCGTGCGTGCGTGCGTGTGTGTGTGTGCGTGTCAGACGAAGACCGAAGACTAATATATGCGTATAGCGCATAGCAGTTGGCATCTGGAACAACTGCATGCAGTCAACGTGTGACCTATGTAGAAAAACGCAATATTCCAGGCAACATAAGTACGAGATCATTCCACAGCATTCCCAAATTCAATTCAAACGTAAAAAACCTTAAAAACAACTAAAAGCTTAGCACGATATGACACGACACTACAAATATCAAGCATTCACCGGTGGATGGGAGCATGGTAACAGAAGACCCCAGCGCGCAGCGAGCGGGACCAGTACACAGCAAACGGGACCGGACCCACCACAAAAGCTGTCCAGATTAGTGTCTGCGACACGGCAAAAACCGACCCGAACGGAAATCTACGGCTTTCGCAGTACTCTTATCAGACCACCACGCCGGTATCGTTCCAAGCGCAGCCATCTTTGAGAGCACCATTCTACGAACTACAGAGAGATGCCAAACGCTTCACAGTCAGAGTTATATACGTCAGATGCCTATCGTTTTAGTCCAAACTTTTCACGAAACCCTTTAAAAAAAAATATTAGAACCGTCTAAATATCAGAGTTTGCGCGAACTGTGTGACTTTTCAACATGATGATGACGATTTGGGCTTTGGGCAGCACCGACCACGTTGGTCATATGGCGCCCAGACTTTTGAACACACACACACCCGCACGCACGCACCTCCGCACGCACACACCCCGCACGCACGCGCGCACGCACGCACGCACGCACACACACACACATAGCTATGCATACGTCCAAGTAACATGAAAGCACAGTCCTACTGGCATTGTTTAGTGCTTCACTCTTTGTTTTATATTGATGACCTACTAAGACAGCACAGAGCTCACCCTGCTGCTTAAATAAGCTCCCAAGTGGCTAGCATTTCACAGATCGAGAACGTTTTACGTAGTAAAAGGTTCTCGGCTCTATCAGTGGTATGAGGGAGAACGTATCGGCTTGCAACGTATGGATACTACACTGGTAACTCAACAACACTGCCTGCACCTATACTTCATTCCCACAGTTCGCTGGACTACATGTAACCCGTCCTCCCAGCACCCCACCACCACACCAACAGCGGATTTCCTCGCTGCAGTCTTCGTATCTACTTGAAGACAGTGAAAAAACAGTAAGAAGTCAAACCGTCATAAACACGGGAGATGAAACCACAAAAATATGAGACCCACCTGCAGCAACAGTCGACGTATTGCTTCCAGTCCGTCAGGGCACAATCACTTCTTCGTGCTGCAACAATGCTGTTCTGCACATTGACCTCAGAAGCAAAGCCGCGAAAAATACGCATGCGCGAAGCTTCTGTGATGTAAGAAGGCTCATTTACAGAAGCCTGATAAGCACTTCGATGCTTGGCGCATCAGATACGATAAACGGCGATCTTGATGACCTACAATATATAACCTACAATATATATCCTACAGTACATACAATATTGCAGCTCTCAATAGCATGGCCAACCACAAAAGCCTTGCATCTGTTACTTTTATGTCGAATATCTTTGGATCGAGCGGAATGTTTTTTGTAACCTGCCTAGGTAGCACGCCAGGTACACAATGATATTTGATGCCACTTGAGAAAATTCTGCAAGACTCGAGAACGCTTAAGTTTTCCTACAAATGGTGATATGGTACGGGTCGCAAATTCAAAACTTATACGGTTGCATCGCTCATCCAAAAAGGCATGAAGTTTGCCTTGCTATTTTGCAGAAGGCGCGCTAAACGATGCAAAAGTCGGGGTAGGGTGCATACAACCCATACCCCCCTCCCCCCTTCCCGCCCCCCACGCGTACGTAAGCGTCAGAAAATTGAAATTTTGCCCGTGAGTTATCAACGAACAGAGGACTAAAATAAACGGATATTCCTATCTGGTGCGTGCGCCGGACGCCATTTTCGTGACCGTTGGAACCAAAAACCACTTGAATGGAAACCGGGTAGTGACCATGAACCCCATCACCACACCACTACCAGTCTTTTACGGGCGAATGGGCTTTCCAGCGTTGTCAAGTTACCCCACACTTCATCCAAAAGAGCCCTTCGAAAGACACATGAAGACATGCTTTCCAAAGGACGTGCAGGACGCAATCAGAGAGCGCATGAAGTATGAATGGCATGAAAAAACTCAGCGACGACAGTGAACCGAAACGGCGCTCGTGAGTCGCTCAACAAACTGACGAGCTCAAACACGATCAATGACGCACACAACATTGGCCGTCACACAGGCACACAGTAAGCTGGCCGACGCGTTCATAACGCGGCCAGATCTGATCAGTCCGCCCGTTCTTTACATGCTTTACGCTTCTTGCAGCATCAGCTCGAGCCGGAACAACGGCACCCGAGCGTCTGCCCGCCGCCGTGAGATCTTTTGGCAGACGTCCTCAGGCGGCCGCTCAGAACTCCATGTGCCATGTGCCATGTGCCTCGGAACCGTGTGCCATGTGCCTGTGTGACTTCCGCTTCGCTCAGACATGTCCGCAGACCGCATCCGCCGAACAGCCGCATGTCCGCGACCACTGGCACTGTTTGGCACACATTTGGCTGTGGTCGCGGTGTAAGCATTATCATTAGGGAACACTTCAATGTCCCAAGGGGAAGGACTGAGCATAAGGCGGCGATGTAACGCTGGTGTTTACTGAGCGGTCGATTTCCACCCAGCAGTTTCGAATCTATCATGATATCAGCACTTCACGGCGCGCTGCAGCAAAGCCCTCCCGTAAGTCCAAACTGAAACAAGTTGCCTTTTTGGGTACAGTTCTCGGCGCCCCTTCGACCACTGAAGACACTGCTCACACCAGTGAACATCGGAGAGTTTGTTCGCCGTGAAATCCGCCGCCGCGACCAGATTACCGCGGGCCAGACCAGGTGATCTGCCCCACGACCATTGACCACGTGCAATCGATTTGCTTACGACGCACTTATCATACCTATGTCAGGATGGCAACCGGTCAGTGCGCTGCGGGATATGTGAAACTGACCATGTTCGGGCTTTTGTGCTCGTTCGAAATGCGTGCGCATTCGTAACCAAAGCAATGGAGTGAAAGGCATCGAGCCCACCAAAAATTGGGAATGCTATGCATAGAAAGCCGGGGCATCTTACGCCCTATGTCGTGTCTTTATTTTTGCCAGTTGTTCGTTCTTTGTACTCCACAGTTTATGGAGCATGTAGATCATACGATGAACAATATGGAAGGTTGATTCGATGCATCAGTATCAAAGCAAGACTTGAACCAAAGCATTAGGGTGTCGCGAACTGACGAACAGGAGCAAAAGGAGTAACATTAGACCGAGCCACAAAAAAGTATGCCCATTTTCTTCACTCCGCATTTGCTAGGGTTGCACACTCACTTTTACCAATGCGCAAACACAGCTGGTAGATCCCAATATTTCCTTCAGTGTGACAGCAAATGTAAAATGCGAGAGTTCGACACAGTTTTTACGGGTCCCAAACTTTAAGCGTCGTCGGCTCGCGATACTTCGCCGCCTCCGACGGCCCGGGGATAGCCCGCTGACGATTCCACGCGTGACGTCACGTGCCAAAACATTCGAAGTAAAACATGGGGCAGTCGTAACCCGCACGTGATGCACTCGCTTGACGTTTCCTAGCTTATTTCACACGACTTTTAGGGGTTGATATGTCGGGTAGGGCCAAAAGAGGTCAACACACGCTTCTGCGGTCACTACAATCTTCATTTTAATCGCATACTAGCAGTAACTGTCACATTCAAACGGCATTTACATCGCCAGTGATGCATATAAATTACCCTGGCCCAAGATCTACCAGGTGTGGGGCTAATTTGGGCATTTTAAGATCCAGCATAAAGTGACCTTCATTTCCTACGACATCAGTAAAGGTCACGGGCATCGAATGACGTTGATACAAAATTTATTTACAGCTTAACTTATTCAAAATAGATACACATCCCTTATCCGCGGTCATTTTCTTTCTTTCCACTCAATTTGAGTGTGGGACTGTAATGACGCTAGCAGTGACAATAATTATTGGTGGTAGGTGGTACTTATTGGTGGTGGGTAGTAGTTATTGGTGGTAGGTAGTAGTTATTGCAAAACACAAAAATTGGAAATGTTGGGACAACCTGATTTCTTGGACAGTTTCTGGACTGACAGCTGTTCCGCCCTTCGACTATAGGTTGAACTTGGCACATGAACTTCCCGCAAAACGCATCTCTGATCAGAATGGGACGCAGAGCGGACCACGAAGTTTGCAAACAAGGCGCTAGGTCAGTGACCTGACTTGGTTTCAGCGTCTGCATTGTCAGACTGCGCATGCAACCTTGAATTTCCCCTCACCCAAATTTAACCGCGGTGCACTGAACGGATTCAGAAGTGCATTCCGAAACCAGCGGGATTGAATCCCTATGCCACGCGAGGGTTAGATCTCGAGTTTGATAGACTGATTTGCGCAATGAACGGGATCAATACACCACTTTTAATCCCATTTCACGCGGCTGAAATGACTGGCTGCGCCTTAATGTTGGACTCGTGCCACGGATTGGGTTTTTCGCCCGGTCTGCTGGCATGTCTGAGCGAATAAAGGCGCACACATAAGCCTACCTTGCGAACCGCCGTCCTCGCTGCAGCGTTGTGACGGTCCTGCCACTCCGCCTGCTGAAACAGAAGCAACTGGGTCAGCGCCCACCAGAGTGGCCAAAGGCGCATCTGGTTGTGATGTTGTGTAAACAATAAACGCAGCAGAGATGATACCAAGGCGGGCAGAGGCTGTCAACGTATCTGCAACACTCTCGTATGAGAACCATGTTTTCGGATCTTTGCACCGGCAAACGCTGCGATTGTCGTGGCTAACTGGTCACTTCTCGCTGTCCATGACCTGGGATGTTTCCTGATGACACAATTCACCAAAAATTACGTAAACTAGCTTCCTGTTCAAATTCCTTAAATTCCTATTCCTATTAACTAGCTTCCTGTTTCTTCCCACCAATAACCCCCACAGCTGCAAAAATATTGTGCGCCTTTCGAAACCCACCAGCTACAGCATATCCCGCACCCAAAGCGGTTCCCGACTTCAGCAGTGCCCCGCCGCCCCTCCCCGGCGACCGACCACCCGGCCGCGCCAGCCGACGGAGGCCGGGTGGGTCGGACGCAACGCTCACCGCTGCCGCCGAGCCGTTCGGCGCTGAGCAGGAGGGCGTCGCTCGACTGGTCGGAGCCGGCCTCGAAGCCCTCGAAGTCGGCCACGCGGCCGAGCGCGGCCTCCAGCGCCGCGCCCTCCGCCGTCGCCGCCTCCTCCGCGTCGCCGTCGTCGTCCAGCGTCAGGTCCACCTTCTCCACCTTGATCGGCTCCTGGCCGGCGGTCGCCCGCGGTCAGCGCGCCGGCGCTGTCGTCAGCGGCCGCCCCACAGGTGTTTCGCACTGGACGTGGCCATCATTGCGGCTTTACGACGCATTCAGCAGCTCAGGCTACGTTGTGTCGCCTGCCCCTCACCCTGCCACGGAGGGAGGCCATCGCGGGGAACGGGACCCCGTGCCTCTGATTTTCCAGGCGCGCGATTTAGCCGCAGCGCCACTGGCATCCCTCTCAGTATTGGACACTACGGACAGGCTTTTTCCTCGGTGGAAGCGGGTCGTGCGCCAGCGTCCTCCAAAACATCAGTCGCACCTGTGCCCGACGCCGAGACAACCCTCCGCTCATCCTTTACGCTCGCACTTTGTTCCCATCCTACCTCGATATTCGCCCGTATCGACATCACCACCGCTGATGCCGACAGCCACACAGAAAGCAACGCACGCTGCCACGAACACAGCCGCAATGATCCCCAGCCACCGATACCTGAAGGGGCACCTGAGTTGGCTCGGGCGGCGGCGGAGGCGGCGGCGGCGGCGCCGGAGACGCGGCGCGCGGCGGGTCCGTCTCGGCGCGGCGCTTGTGGCGCGGCTCGCCGCGGCCGGCGAGTCGGCGCGGCGTCGACTCGCCGGGCCGGGCGGCTCGGGCCAGCGGGCGCGTCGGCCGGGCGCCGGCCGCTCGGCCCAGTCGGCGCTGGCCGGCGGCCACTTGCGGGGGCTCTGGCGGCGGCGACGGCCTGCTCGGGCGCCTCCGGCTGCGGCGCGACGCCGACGTCAGGACCCGTCGGAACGCTCGGGACGCGCCCCACCGTCCCTGGTTACGCCAGTGTCACGAAATCCCAATAGCAGACAGGGCATTTACTGATGCAGCGTTGTAGGCAACTGATAACCCCTGAACCCATACAGGTGACCTGCAAGGAACGGAAAACACTGGACTCAAAGGGCTATGATAGGCATCGATGATAACGTTTTAACTCCAGCCCCGAACCCAATAGGCGCTACGGGTGGCACAGGCACGTGAGCATAGCATGCATGGGGTGGAGGCGTCACATGCCCAACAACGCGATGTGGCTGGGACGTGACGTCATTAAATCCTGTGCACAGCGCGGTTCTGCAGGGACACAGATGCATGGTTTCACAGGGACACAGATGCGTGGTTCCACAGGGACACAGATACGTGGTTCCACAGGGACACAGATGCATGGTTCTACAGGGACACAGATGCATGGTTCTGCAGGGACACAGACGCATGGTTCTACAGGGACACAGATGCAAGGTTCTACAGGGACACAGATGCATGGTTCTACAGGGACACAGACGCATGGTTCCACAGGGACACAGATGCATGGTTCTACAGGGACACAGATGCATGGTTCTACAGGGAACGCCTCAGAAGTTTGCACGACTATGTTACGTCCACTGAGGGGCTGCGACTGCCAGAGCCGAGCCAGCAATAACAACGGGTATAAACCGGAGGACCCCACCGAGGACACCTAGGTTCCGTTCAAGGTTTCGAGCCAGCACTCTGTTTCAGCAGCGGCGGTGCAAGTTCTGCGGCAGCTCAGAATAGGAGCCGCGATTCAACAACCAGACTCCCGTGGCGTCTGCTGCGCCGTATTTTGCCCACCTTGTCGTCGTTCCCACTGAGGCCCTGGACCTGCAGCATCTCGGCCGTCTTGATGAAGCTGGCCAGCTGGCTCTGGGCCACGTTTGACGCTGCCCTTGTACATGAACTCGATGATGGCCCGCAGGTCGGCGGCCGACGTGTCCTTCAGGAAGATCACCATCTGCTGACATGGGTTGTCCTGAAAAAGAACACATGAGTGCAGGGCTTGCATGTTATGATACACTGCCAGGCCTGGCCACTTCGGTCTGATATCTTAGGATATACAAAAAAGTTGGTCTAAAAATTGGTCCAATTCAGCATACCGTCATCCACAACGCAACAACAAATACCTCTGTACAAGACCGTGGCGTTGTTGCTGTTGAAAACGCTCGGATAACATGGTTGCAGCATTTTCAAACTCCCATAACCTATCTGAAGAAGAACATGAACCTCACCAACAGACCCGTTTTGACGGCGCATGATCACTTACGAACTGTTGCAAACCAACCCATATTTAAAAACAGCGTTGGCGTCATCTGTGAGCCAGTGCTAGCGGATTATCTCGCATGAGTCTAAACTACGACACAAGGACGGGCTCAAGATACCGCGGAACCTGTACGTCATCACTCATCCAGCCCACGGCCTGATCTGAAGAAACTAGCACGGATCTGCAATATGTGAGGGGTTAACCTCGTCAAACCATCTAGGTCTCGCCCTTTTCAACAGTATGAAGGCGTTTATCCGACTCTGCTTGACAATTTCACACGCGATTTCACATTTCACAATTTCACACACTGACAATTTCACATTGCGTCCGAGGCGCAACTTCAACAGCCTAGTGGTGGCGTGCTAAGAGATCTCCCACTTTCAATCAGATGGTCTTGCGGCGCATGTCATGGCTCACGCATCAAAGTGGTCACATGACGTCGCGCGTCTGGCTAAGACAGGTCAAATAGGGTACCCAGTACGCTGAATGTCCAATTAAACTAGCCGTTGGTTGCCATGACGTCCGGAATTTTCGAAACGTAACCTAGCAACCCGATAGCAATTTTATTTTACTTACGTGCACTGCACCTTTCATTGCGTTAGGAAGTTGACCGGCGTTGTGCAATTCCACCATACGGTACGCGTGAGCGTTACATAATTATCTGAAGCATGATGAGCTATTCATAGTGTAAGAATCCTTCTACTTGACGTGGCCTACGTCACTGGATAATTCCAGGTCAAAATGATATACCTTGAATGACACCGTGCGCGCTGCCGACTGCTGCCTCTGTCAGCACCCATAAGACTTTTGCATATGCAACACCAACAGAATCTGGCCTAACCGCTGCGATTTCGCGGCATTTAAATACCCGGAGCTCCTTTGTCGTAATGTCGGTCGCAGTAACAAAAAGCGGAGCATCTACCTCAGATGACGTCCACAGAGCAAAGCCAACGCAAATCAAATAATCCGCCCATTACTTCCAATGTGCATATGGGACGTGCTGTAATCACCATATGACTTGCCAGCCAAACTAAACATGCTGACAGGGAATTAGCGAAAAATACATCTAACAAGATTGGTGATTGCAAAACGCATTTCGACACTTTTGGTTAACCTGGTTGTTGTATTGCAAACAAACCACAAAACTAATTTATAAGTACATTAATAGTGCTCTATAATCCGCTTTGTCAGACAGACAGCCAAGCACTTATCCAAAGAGAGTGGTCAATATTTTTGTGGGGTTTTGACCTGAAAAAGCCATCTTGAAGACTTTTCAGTACTGTTCACATCCAGCCCTTTTAAAACCTAAGACCCTCTAGCTTCTGAGCTACACGCCCACCGAAATGGGGAAAGGTATATTGGGGAGTGTTTCAGAGTCACCTTGGCATTCATGGCGCCAAAAAAACGTCATTAAAATCCTGCCATTCCATAAGTTATGCGGCGATCAAGGCCAACAAAAATATAATTGTTGAGGCGTTCATATCTGGCGTTGGTGAGCACGACTTCCAGATATAACGGCCATTCATTGGCTCTCGATCAAGGTTGTGCAAGGGGCGATAACGTAATCAAACAATGACGTATTGGGGAGCATGCTCATCAAATAGAGAAATTGTGCTGCCTATAGCAGTCTTTTCAACTTAGAAGTACATCAATATCTAAAGTGAGCATATTTCATCATATATGATTCCTGCTTTGATACATTCAAATGTGAAACATTCCCCTCAATGTGATGAAAAGTATCTGCAAATCAACACCAAATTAACAACGCCGGTCAAATCGGCGTGACTGAAAACGCCCATACACCATACATTATGAATTGGTGTTCAGCTTTGTGTACCTTGAGCAGCTCCCTGAAGTATGGGCTGCAGGCAGACAGCATCATCCGGTGCGCGCGCACCCGCTGACCCTCACAGCAGAGCGTGATGTCCACCAGCTCGCCATCCAGCCTCAGCTGATCAAACAGTGACGTCACACTGCCCTGGAAGCCATCCCACTTCAGGCAGAACTTCTGGCCGTCCATCATCTGAAAGCGAGCAGGACAACCCCCGGCGGTTTAGTGCGATATGAGGTACGGATCGCCCGGTCAGTCTACCACGCCGAGCATACCGGAGGTCTGCGCGTGGCAGCCGCCGCGTCACACGCGGCTCGTGTTCCTGGGGTACGGTAGGCACGATAAACTCGACGCCCGCGTCGTGAAGCGTCAACAGTTTGGGCAGCTGCCTATCCCGAAAAAGGACCCAACATTTCTGCGATCTGTCCAACTTAACTACGGCGTTGGTCGGCGGTGAGGCAGTCTGGACGAACAAATGTGACAACGATTCGCCGCTGGGATAAGAGGAACATAACTGTACCAGCAGCTTGATGCACCAAAGTAGCAATGGCAGCGCAGGATGGCGTTGTCGGCGTTTGCATTGCGAGGAACATGGGGGTACCAGCAATGCCAGCTGGGTTTCACACATTTCAATCTGCTATCAGGCTGATGTAGAAGCGAACTGCACTCTCTTCAGCCTGGCAAATGATGTGGCTCATGGTCGGCTCATGCCCATTGTCACCCATCAAGGACATCAAACACTATCGGCGAAGATCGCGATCGATCAATCGAAGATCGATTGCGGATTGGCGAAAGATCCGCGCGGGCGGCCTGCGCTATGGTCCCAACAAGCACCATACAGAGAACACAACCTGTTTGCTTGCACAGGCAGAAAGATCCGCGCGGGCGGCCTGCGCTATGGTCCCAACAAGCACCATACGGAGAACACAACCTGTTTGCTTGCACAGGCAACCATTTGATCATGCACATTGGGCCAGCGATGTTGCTAGTGCACAACATATGCCAGGCCCCGGTGGGGGGGGTGGGGGGTGGGGGGTTGGTCGACACCTGCCTGCCAGCAAGCAGTTTGGGGGAGGGACTGCTCTTGCTGAATGAGCCATACTTGAAATACGCTATCTGTTACACAGGCAGCTATTTTGTTTGTCATTAATTAGGCATACAGCGGAGTTTTTACAAATTCATTATCACAGTATCAGAAACTTGCAAGACAATTCACAAAATTCAGTGCCACGGATGATG